CCCGATAATGGTAAATAATACTTGTTCCACTATTCATACATTCAACTTTTTACTATAAGGAGTTATGTCCAAAAATTCTCCACACTGATATATCTGCCTCGGGTATAACCACCATCATTTTCATTTCCAACTGACAGTTTAGATTATCTCCTACTTACAGTGTAAAAATATTAATGCTATTAGAATAACTTTATCTAACTTACAATATAGACTTTTTAAACTGCTTATCATGTCTTTATAAAGACCTTTACGATGCCAGCCAAAATCAAAGTATTTACACCCAAAAGACTACTTTTAGGTGAACTCCTGTTTGGTCACTTTTCAGATGACTGAACACTACAGTAAACAGCTGCTAGGCCACTGCGCTCCCTTTTTGCAAACGGGGACTTGTTAGTCCCTTTAAAGCCACAAGAAACCTTACAAATCTTCCTCAGAGGGCAGTTTATTCATATTCTGTGCAAAAAGTAAACTGAACAATCTTCTTTCTTTTTCTCTTTGAGGAATTCATGTGAAGCACAGTTTTCACAGCACAAATTATGCAGAAATAACTAGTATCTCAACCATGAGTTAAAAAGAACGACAGAACATGTATTTAGTAGTAAAGCAACCTGACGGCTTAAAGCTGCAATATTCTTCTCACAGGGCAAAAGTGTTCAGTACTGGGCTTGGCCTACAGCGGAACCAGGCTTCCTGCTGTTTCCACCCAAGGCAAGCGCAGCAATCTTTTTCCACTTACCAGCCAACAACAGACGTCCCCAGCGACGCTGAGCACAGAAACTGTTCTACCAGTTCTGGTAAGCGTCCCATATTTACTTACCTTGCAGTGAGAAAGGGAATTAAAGACAAACAAATCCCACAAAATTTAACCAAAGGAGGATGTACGACAGGGAAGGAGAAACACTGCAGCTTCAGCCCAAAACCAGTGTCGCAGTCTACCATCGTAAGCTCTAGACATCATGCTGACACTCCCAGCCCTGACGAGCAGGCTGTTTGAAGTCTGTCGCTTCCCCCCCTCACTTTTCTTTGACTGGTGGGGAGGGATGGTGGTGATGAGTTTAGCACAGTCCATGGGGGAACATCCATCAATGAAAAGCATATAGGAGCAGTAAGATGGTACAGACGCCGATAATGCCACCCAAGATGAGGGAATCTCGTCGTTTCCGAAGGTTGATCCTTTGAATCAGGCTGTTAACTGCTGGAAACCGATCTTTAAGGAGTGTGAGTCAAGGTCATATCAGCAAATAGCGTCTTCGCTAACAAGCCCCAAAGCCTGTACGTGGAAATCCCAATACTGCAAGAAATGCAGAGCTACGCCCATCTGGAGAAAGCAGATGCAGTACAAAAACCTGCTGGATAGTTAGCAGGGTTACAACTCCACGAATAACACACACGCAGAGAAATGAGAGAACAGAACAGCTTGGGGTTCACGTTTAGACAGAATTCAGTACTTGTTCACCTAAATTACCAGCATTTCATATACTTTAATCTCAAATATGTGAGGATTAGTTACTTTTAATAGTTGTGTTTAAATTAGAATGAAAAAAAAATGGGACAGCTATACAAAACTTCTATGGAATGTAATTAATGAAATTCTGTTACTGGTGAAGGGAGCAACCAAAGGCATTTCACTGAGCACACCATGCGCGTTGCATGACTACGCTCTGTTCAAGTATAGCACATAAGGAAAAACTCCTCCTACTGCAAAATCATAAAGATGTAAAGCTGTCTTTTAACGTACAAAATACAATTGCCAAAAAGATAATAAGCTTCAGAGCCTCATGTCTTTGGAACCAAGAATCTTTTAAGGCCAAAGCTTATTGAATTTTTTTTTGGTCTTGCCAGTTCCTAAGAACTGTAATAAAATTTATGGCTTACCAAGATACATCTCTTCAGGATGTACTCTGTCTAATCAAATGATGCTAATGTTGTTCTTTGGGCCCTTACGACAGAAAGGAAGGAGTAAGGGGGAAAATGACCAACATGCATGACTACAGTCTGGCACATTCTTTAACCATGGGCACAGAATATGAAGAGATATCAACAAACCAAAATCTTAACATCTACAAGACTGTGACAGATGAGAGGATACTCAGGTGTGAATATTCTTAGCTGTAAACCATAACAATGTATGCCAAGCTTCAGCTCTGGACAGTCTTGAATGCAACAAGCAAGAAGTAAAATGAAATTATACTTCTACGAAAACCTATAGCAGGGAAGGCCATGAAACGCTGCTGCAGATCTCGAACTGAAAATTAAGCTACACTGATTTATATGCAGTATTCCAATTTGAGTACAACCAACTATTCACCACACTCATCATTAAGATGCTTCAGTCAGATCATCAAGTGAGACTGGTAAAAAAAAAAACAGTCTGTTTCTCACTAATGACAATACCACTACAGGTTATACAGCCACTGACATCGCAAAGCGTTTTGATCCCCAAATGACAGAGTGAAAAATTGTACTATACCTCTTCTTCTGCACTGGCAGCGCAAATTTTTAGGAAAGGATACTAGCCAAGGTATTCATCTTGCTTTGTATTGACTTCAACATCCCTCTCTGCGAAGTCATATTTTCTTTCGTTGCCATGGCAATGCTGGAGAAAGAAAGAGAGTGGATCAAGTTGTTGGTGCTAAGAATAATCTACAGCTAAAACAAGAGGAAAGCAAGCAGGCAACGCTTCTTTAGAGAACAATGAATGAGGTGAAGCAATATGAATGAAACCACATTTTTTCCACTAATCTCTATCCTTTACACTTCAATGATTTCTCTTTTTATGTAAGCCATTAAAAATTGAAACCACTGTGATTTCTTGAAACAGGCAGCGTTTTGGCATATCTCCCCCAGCCCCAACAGAAAATGCTACTACATTACAAGCAAACCTAAAGGTACTCTTCTGGCTTCAGTTTCAAATTTAGAAGTTTGTTTAATCGCAGAAGCCCCATACTTGCTTTCACTCTAGAGAGCATATGAAATTTCCTGTCTGCCATCAGGCTATGATGGCTACAGAAGTATTAAGCAAGTAAGAGCTGACTCACAATTAAAAATCAATTTACAAAGCGAATGTGCTGGTTGAGAGGAGACAGAAGTGCTATCCGAGACCCAACACAGCTCGTGGAGCTTCACACAGAAGGTTTCTGGACAACCGAGCTGGGACACACAGTCACCAGGTCTCTGAAGACACTTAAACACAACGAAGTGTTGGGAGCTGCTTGCTTTGACTCCAGATTAATACTGTCCTCGGACTTCAGATACGTGAGCAAAGCTTGGATTCTCCTGCATAAGTCTCTTCCCAGCAGGCCCAACCTGACTGTCTTCCATAAGCTGGAGGTGAGGGAGCTGGTGCGTAATGAAATCATATCAAATGATGCTCTCATCACAGCACAGATAAAATACATTTTTGAACTTTGGTCCTGATTAAGAATATCATCCATGGGTACAGAAGTTTTCACGCACTGTTTCTTTACTAATACATGGTGCAGCTGTATGTACTTTATCGAAATATAAGAACACAACACAGGTTAATATAGAACAGAATTTCTGATTTCAAATTTAATACATTCTGGAAGTTGGAAAAAAGCAACTATTCTCTTAAAAATAAGACACTGAAATGAAGATTTTGAAGAACTACTCAGCTGACAAAAATTTTTCTCTACCTTAAGGTTCTCTTCAGCTTGTAAAACAAAGAGTCATAGGATGGAAAATGAAAGGGCAGGCTACTACTTGTAGCCCCAGGTAACATTTCATGTAGCTACCCTGAATGCAATAGCTCTGTCAAGACAAACTGCACAGACCCATTTACATCTAAAGAAACAGTATATAAAAGTTTAGGCTCTGGAGATGCTTAAGAAGGAACAGTATGACAAATACTGCTCTCCTTGGCTGGGATGCATTCAAAAAATAAACAAAGTAGGACATAAATACAACACGGCTGGATAGTAACTCAGAAAATGACACCTATATTGCTGTGGACTATATGTACATGAATAACAACAATTAAAACCAGTTCTTGGACAAGTTTGTGAGCCTTAAATATGGAGGGACATTGTTGTGGAAGAATAAAAGTTAAGTGGAACAATACAACACAACAGATATAAACCTGAGAAACGGGGTCTAAAGCCAGAGGAGAACAAACACATAGGAAAATGTAAAACACTTCTTTACCCACTACGGACATTTACATTTTCCAGAGCATTTTATGCTTTCTCCCACTCTGTGTCTGTATACAAACACGATACAAAAATCCCAGCTAACACGAGCATTATTTCTGAGGAGGGAGCCAGGTACAAAGCACTGAAACACACAGTGCAAGCCCAACATTAATCTCCAGCTCTGCAGGGTGAACTGGACATTGCATTTGACGCAAAGCCTTAATATTTACTACTGAACTCTCCGAATGCACTTGCTCAGTACATCTGGTCCTCAAGCACTGCTCTGCACTGAATCCAGCCGGGTTTCAAGGCTTTGGGCTTATCTTTCTGTAACCGTCAAAATGTTCAAACATCATTTGTCCTGATATTAGTACTAAAGTACTTAGGTTGACCTGGCATTTTAGTACTGGAAGCTGATAAAAAAAGGACTTGTATCCACCTTAGTGTATCCTTCCAGGTAAATCTGGTACGAAAAGTCGCACACAAAAATTAGTTTGTAAACTTATTAAAACATAGAACTGGCATTTCTGACATTTTTATAACAAAGAGCATTTCACACACTTTATTTCAAGTTCCTCTCTGAGCAAAACAACACTTGAATGAGCAGCTCTGGATTATACAATATGCCACTGCCTTTCCTGCTAGGACACTACAGCCAGTACCACAAGAATAGCTGGCAAAAACCCACAGAGCCAAGCCTACCAAGTGTCCTTCAAGACTTGCAGTGACAGGTCAGCATCACAGTTCACAAACATCTTCAGGAAGAAAACAGCCTGGATCAATGAGCCCTAAAGCATTTTTGGAGCAGCCAGTTCCTTTGGGCTCCCTTCCATTGTATCAGCCTACTCCATCTCAAGTAGCCCTTGATACAGTATCTTCAGCCTTCCCATCAGGTCTCAGGCAAACTTTAAGGAAAAAAAAAAAAGAAAGAAAAAAGGAAAAAATCTGCTACCACCTCTTCAGGTGGAGGCTGCCTTTTCCAGCTCTGGCTTTGCACATAAACTGAGAGGTCACCAAGCCAAAGCCCGAGTGTTATATGCAGTATGATTTTGTTTTTAGCAGTAGCAGAACACCTTGGAAAGCAAGGGAAGATCATCACACAGACACAGGCGAGACACAGGCGAGACACAGGTGACAGAAGGGCCAGCCTACGGCCCTCATAACTTGCAGGTCACAGAACAGACTCTTTCAAAAGCTCTGTACAGCGATTCCTTTTAAATAGAACAACATGCCTTGACAGAGCAGATCAATATATTATTTTAAGGTTATATTAGTGTTCTGGTAAACTTGGACATACATTAGGAAACTTGAGAGTTTATCGGTCATAAGGAGAATATAAACAGTTTGATTACATGTAGGCACAACCCTGACATTTTCAGTCAGCAGCTCTATAAGATCAGATTTAACATTTTAATACTAAGTTTTGAAGTATCAGATTAAAAAAAAAAAAAAGGCAAGTTTATGGGCAGAACTAAGAAAAACCTTAAAAACCTTCAAGCATTTTTCCTTTGATACTTTAGAAGTGCCAAATCAGCACAAAGTGAAAATGAAACTCATGGCTAACTGGAAGCAACAGGGCTTGCAGTGCCTCCTTGGGGTTCATAATGGAGTTGCCAGAACCCATCAACCAACTCTCTTTGGTTTTGCCAAAAGAACAGATGAAAGTCTACAAAGCTTCTCCTCTTCGCTTGTGCAGTGCGGCCACTCGGCACACCGCGTGTGCTTGGTCCTGTGGATGTACCAACTCATCTAACCCACAAATGCAACTGATTTATTGGGTTACACACGACAGCCTTTTCAGGGCTAAAATTACAAGAAAAGAAAGTTAAAATTAGAAGGGAGGAGAAATAAAGAATCACATCATTGCCTATCCCAACAGTGCACGAGCATACAAAGAAAAGCATCTAAGAGCAGGTGCTAACAGACATTCTGAACAGAGAATGAACAGCTGTGTACCACTATAGAAAAAGCAGTGACATTAAGGGCTGAAAAAGGGGCTGCAAAATTAGACCAGTAAATACACCAAATCATATAACATGTGAGAAGATACAACATTTGACAGATTATATATTTTTACAACTCAGCATACAGGTATTTTATCTTTCTAAAGTAAAAAGCAACAAGCTTGCAGAAACAATACATTCGCTATTGAGAAGAGCACTTGGGAAATATTGAATTACTAGGAACCAACTTAGGAAAACACAAAGATTTCCTAGCTGTACACAGGCAAGCTTGCTCCGGAACCTGCAGCATCGTATCTTACACACCCACACTGACCTGATAATTGTCCAGATGAAGTTTTAATACAGCATTTCTCAAAGCACTCCTGAATTAAGCCACATGTTTTCATGAGATGCATCCAATGACTCATTAAGACATCCATTAATTTACAGAAGTGAAAACACAAGATGACTGCCAGGATATAAAGTGTTCCTGAGACATCCCCAAAATGCCTCTGGAAATAATGATTACAGATTATCACAGAACACAAAGTTCCTACTTTAACATCTGAGGAGCGGAACTGTCCATTTCACATAAAAAAAGAACTGTTTAAATTTACAGATTACAAGATTGGAACCTTCTTAATTTCTTTTACCCCGTATTATGAAAAAATCAGCTCAATGGGCTAGGTTTTACTAAAGAGCTCTGAAGAAAAAAAGTAATTGTAGTGACTACCATTTTTAATATAATATGGTCTAGTAATGAAATGTAATTGTGATATCCATGAACAAGAGTTTAACTGGATTCGAGCTACCATTAACAAGCCAAAATCCAAGTGAAAAGCACTGTTCTTCACATATAATTTGATTACTCAAAACATGAGCTGGTTTACCTCAGCTTTATATCTGTAAATGAGACTACTGAATTTAAGCACTACCAGAAAACACACAGCTCCTGGGAACCTGTCCACTGATTGGTCTTGCACAGTCTTCAGTATTGCAGCCTCCTCATATCCTTCCTTAGACAGATTTGGTTTCATTCCCATCCCTAACATATGCTCATTGTCTTACTGTTGCCATTTCTCCACTGACAAATGCATTTTTAAAAAAATTAATCATATTCTTCCCATTCACAATATTGGCCCCATTTAGTTACTCGACACTGTCATCTCTCCAGATCAAGAATACCTTTTTTGTACGTTTTGAGAATTCTACACAACATTTACGATAAAAGATTAACCGCTTCTTACTGGAATCAGGATGACCCTGATTTAACGGTTCCTTTGGAAACCAGCATGAACTATTCTTGACGCTGCACTGGCTTGAACTACTAGAGTTGGGTGTAAATCAAGTTTCTAAAACCAGATGGCATTCTGCTCTCTATATTTAATACTAAAGCACTGCTGAAGTACAACATTAAAGATTGCTGCCCTGCTGGAGAAATCTCTTCTAGGTAAGCCCGAGGTCACAGCCACAAAGAGCCCACTCGTCTCTGCCACAGATCAGCAGGAGTAGCTCAAATTCCTGTCCTTGCAGCCATATTTTCCCAAAATTTCACTTACATTTCAAGTCTGTCCTTGAATGTTCAGCGCTGCTGTGGGTACACAAGCACCTAGAATTCTCTGCAAAAGTAAAACAACTGATACTTGTACACACCTTGCAGTTTTCACTGGCATGAAAAAAGGACAGAGTAATAGATGCTTCCAGCCATGATCACGGTCAAACTAGTCTACAATACAGAGATACACTTTTAATGCTGCTTGACTTGGGAGCAAAGTGGTTTCACCCAGACCAATGCTGAAGCTGTCGGGTGTTCTCACCCACACAGCAGTCACATACACACAGTGCGTTACCAAGCGAAACGTACCAAAAAGCCAAAAGCAAAGTGGTTTCACCCAGACCAATGTTGAAGCTGTCGGGTGTTCTCACCCCACACAGAAGTCACATACACACAGTGTGTTACCAAGCGAAACGTACCAAAAAGCCAACTCCTTGCTTCACCCATTGAGACAGCTCAGTCAAAGCTACACTGATGAGGAACTAAAACAAAACTCGAAAGGAACAAGACATGTTTTTAAAAATGAAATAATTCATGTATTACTGAAGCTTCTGCTTCATCTTGTACTCCATGAATCATACTTGCTCATTTAAATTCATGACAACGTCTATGATTAAGGGAATGGACTCTGTGACTCTGCATAGAAATGCAACCTCTAGTTTTAAATTGGCAACAATTCTGCTTATATCACTTATTCTTTGTGTATACATATGTATGTATATATTCATATCTATATACATGTGTGTGTATATATATGCATATGTACACACACACAATCTTTCAAATTACTTTAAAGATTATTGTGCCCTTTGATGAAGCCCAAGATGAAAACAAAAGGACCATTTCCCAGAAATGCAAGTGATTTTGCCTAGACACTCTGGCAAAGCTCTTCTGAAAAGAGCTGTGACTGAAAAACCGAATTCATGCCTTTCCATTCTGTAAAGTCAAGATTCAATGCAAGTGAATTTCTCCCTTCTTTTGAACCTTAATTATTAACCTAAAGAAATACCCCAAATATATAAGGATTTTTTTTTTTAATTAAATCTATGGTTTTGGTCTGGCTTCAGAGTGGAAGTGGAGTAGTCCAATCTGTTAATGTACAAACATGGAGGAATCAGCCTGCCTCAGAAGCAGTATTACAAGAAAATCGTAAGAACTTGTCACACTCTACATGAAAAACTACAAAAAAATTCAAACTGAGCCAACCTAAAAATATAAGTTGTTGGAAAACAAGAAATACATCATTTGCTATTTTGGAGAAATGATCATGTTTGAAAATGAAAACCTGAGAACACCAAACATATTAAGCAAAATCTATGCTTATATTTAAATCTGGCCAAGAGAAGCGAATGCTGTTCCAAAAGAACTGCAGTACAAAGTATCACATCCCACTCCTTTCTGGAAAGAAATAGGCTGCAGTAAGAACCTATGTCACATAATTCATTTAAAAATTGATTAAAAAGTTTAGTATTAACAAAACATCTGGCATGACAGCCCTACTCATCACTTCAGTTACTAAATCATTTCAGCCCAGGTGCCCATAAATTCTCTTGCACGTATGCTTGCTCCCGTGGAGAAGCCACGTGCAGGCAGAGTCAGGCTCCGCACTTCTTTGGTCTCTGCTCTACCCAAAGCCAGAGCAAGGCCTTTACGATTAGTGCTGACTGCTGAGTCTCCGGCAATGGGGTCACCGGTACGCGGCTTGTCAGCAAAAGCTTCTGCACACACAGAAAAATGCCTTCTAGTGTTTGGAATCACTGCTTAATAACAACCCTTAAAAAAATAAAATCTGCTTTCTTAAATTCCTAAATTACACCCAAATAATGAGTAACGAACCATAGCAGATGCAAACCTTGAAGACAGAGCATTACTAGTAGCCAGGATAAGCTAATTACATCTCACTTCACTCAAGGAATCTGCATTCAGACAGCTTCCCCTGCACAATTCCCTCTTTTACTTGGTTTACTATAGATAAAGCAATTGATAATCAGAAGTGGGGTAAATTTCTATCTGGTAAAATCATTTAAAATGCAGCAGGGTTTCCCACCAGCTAACATCACACCTGAATACTTGCAGTTACTGGGGATGACAAGAGAGAGAGTCAAACAAAAAATTCACCCTGGTTTCAACACAGTTGGAATTGAATGAAGACACTATAAATTAAATTACATTTCCTGCTCAATGTAGTTACTAAACAAGCTCCTCTTCTACAAAAAGAAATGTAGAATGTTTTTGGCAACAACTACAACAAGAAGTTCATTTACTACAGATAACAAACGGTGCAACAAGGAGTGCTGAAAGCCAGCCTCTTAAAAAAAAATCAAAGTCAATTTATTAACAGAAGGAATGCTTTCTGTAAACAGCAGCAAGGAGCTCTGACTCAAGCCGCACGGTAGGGACTACTGCATGGGAAGAGTCACTGTGCAGACAGACGACTTGTAGCCAACTACGGGACTGCAGCTCACGCAAATAAAACTCTAAGCAGTTTTGCACCCGCCAGGACCCCTACTGATGGCATCAGGGAGCTGCCGAGTAGGCTCGGAACGGATGGAGGAACCTGGGTGAATATTCAGGTAGCTGCCCTGGTCTGAGCTCCAGTTTGCCATGTCTACGTTCCCTTGCACATGTAAATCAACACAGAGGTTCACTTCTCACACATACATTCACACTCAGCTTCTGACGACACATAATCAAGAAGGTAGGCAAAGAGCTCAAAGGATACAAGTCACTTTGCAGGATATTAAGCTTAATAAATCACCATACGCTGTTTAATGCTCTAGTTACTGGAGCAGCAGCAAATAAGAGATCCAACAAATGTTGAGCATTTTTATGAGACGGAAAAGCAGGGCTACAAGCATGGCAACAAAGAGAGGATTTTTAATCAAGAACGCCCTAGAACCCAAAGTAAAACAAATATTCACAATAAATGTGCTAAGTTTGGCAAATATCTTTATGAGGCTGTGGTGAGATTATATTCACATTTTCAGACACCATTACACTGACCACTTCTGGTTCATCACTGCATATTAATGTGGTTTAACACATTCTTCCACCATGTTAATTAGACTGAACCCTCTGTATGTACTTAAGCTAGCCAGCCCTTAATGGACATAGAGCCTTGCTGCACCTCTAATTACTCTTCTTGATCACTTATGCCAGTACATGCATTATCTGAAAGCATATCTATCTTCCCCCTTTTTTTTTTAAGCAATAATCTAAAATTTAAAACCATTAAGTCGTGCACTCTGAATTATCGGTTTGCAAAAATCCCAGAGTTCAATGGAAGATTGGGAAGGACACAGATGATAAAAGTAATTTATGACGCTACAGTTCTAAAATTTCTAGATCAGTTAGAGAAGGTATCACTCAAGTATCTGAGCCACGTAAAAACCCAAAAGATACAACAGCAACAACCTCTCAAGCCCTTGCAGTAAAAGCCCTTATGTGTATCAGCCGCATCCCAGGGTGCTGAATACATTGAAGGATTGCAGAAAATCATATTGTACAAGAGTGTCACCGAGAAGAAACAGGCCTCAGCAGCTCAACCTGAGATTCCCTCTGCTCTCATTCCCTTTGTTCTCGTAGGGGCTACTCACCTTTGAACAGAAACTTGAATTTTCTGAACTAGGATGAATAAAATATTTAAGCAACACCATTGCATCAATATTAAGGGGCGGGGGGTGTGAACCCACCACTGTTTTCTTGTAATACTGCCTATGAGTTGTAAACACTGCAGCTATTGTATAAACCAAGCGACTGCTATCTTTGGACACAATTCAACCCAAACACTGATTGTACAGAAAAGAATGAAAATTAGTAAGTCCATTCCTACCTTATTGTTTCTTCTATCAGTCGATCTGAGCTGAAAGCCAAAAACAAAAAAAATAAAAGTTAAAAAAGGAAAAAGCACTATGTACCATTTTAGATTAGTAAATCAAAGATCTCCATAATATAATCCCTAACAAATTTGCCCTTAGAATGTCTTACTGCAGGATGTTGTCGCTTTTTGCTACTGCATAGATTTGGTATACACAAGAGTCGTTGGAAAAGATGCACGTAGTGTCCTCTGGAGCAGCATTTCCTAACTGTATGCAAGAGCAGATGCTCAGAACGCATAAAATATTGAGAAGACAGAAAAAGGGGAATGGGGTCCATGATTCATGGCTAATTAATGTTGTCTGAGCCCGATGTGTACCAGGAGCCCAGCACAGTTTGGAAAGCAGTATTAGAGAAGGAAGTACCAATTTCTTTTTTCTCTTTAATCCTGGCCATTCCTACCCACCCTCTCAAAAAAAAGCAATTAAAAATAAAAGCTGAGGCTTTGTTCCAGGTAATAACATCTCAAAATATTGCTTCAAAGCTGATTTACCAAACACTGTTTTATGCTGGTTAACAAGGCAGGTTCTTTCTATAGTAATACCAGTTGGATGAGAATTAAGCGATGCTTATAGGAAACAGAATACACGCCATCTGTAAGAGAAAGACCTTGATAATACGTGCCCCTTCCCCCTCGTTGCCACACATTAATCGAGTTTCTGTGTAGTATCGCTGGGAAAAGGATGGCCTAAAATACAGCACCACAGAGAGAACATTTCATTTTCAAACGGATGTGCGAGATTAAGATGACAAACAAGATTCTCAGAAGATATGAGCAATTTCTCTTTTTCTGAACTCAACTTGTCATAGACAGGTTTTTAATCACTGTTCTACAGTCAATTATGAAATCCCAGAAAAATGTATCTTGTTAAAAGCAATCAATATCTGAAATGTAACACTGACAGACAATAGGTGACTGCATCCCTGCTTCCCATGTTGCAGAACAATGATGCGTCCCTGCAATTGCTCCATTTCCCCCACAGATTTACACAAACTCTTGCAGAATAAACCAAAAAATGTGAGTTTGCAGTTTAAAAAGGAAATCAATCTGACAAAAGGAAGTTTTATGTTGTGCTGGATATTGCTTCCAGTATTAAAGCAGAATTTATTGCCACCAAACTACAAGGATTAAAAGACCCTGAAAGGGCATGACTGTCTTCATCTCCATCCTCCTCGTCCCAAGTGTTTTCCCACCTCAGGAAGGGAAGGTATCAACAGCCACAGGCACAGCACAGTTCTGCCTCTGACTCAGCTGGAGTCACCAGATTTGGAACTTTTCTTCTACCCACAGAAATTCTGGAGATCCCCCCCCACCTCCAGCTGGAGGCACGGCGCAGGAGCACGTTGTGCAGCACATGTGTGTGGACCGCTCGGGGGGTGGGAGATGCTAACAGAATGTCCTTATTTGTCTGTGAAGAGGAGTGAAAACATGAAGGTTGCTATTTCAGTCGAGTCCATGGCTTGAAATATGGAGACGGCACACAGAGCACTAAAAATATTATGCCCAATTTTAAGTTGAGAGGGACTCAACTGGGGCAGTGAACACTGAAGACACTGGAACACTGCTTTCTGCTCCCAAAACAAAGCCACACTCCAAAGATTCACGTCAGTCGCAAGTACATTGGTTTAATCAAATAAAACCACTTGCATTCACCGCATGGCATTTATCACCACTGGCACAGAGAAGTAATACACCATCGTCAGGCACACAACGCGAGGTAAGCAGTCTCAAGTCTCGCAGCATCTGATAATGCCCCCAAGGCAAGCAGAAGAGAAAAGCGATGCATTAAGGATTTCTGTAATCGCTGATTCTCAAAGATACAAAATTCAGCTGCGAATGTGCCTTTCATACGTAGGTAGTCTCTAACAGACAAGTGTATTATGTGGGCAGTGCCTAATCAGAATAAACTGCAAAACCATCAGAAAACTGTCTGAAAAGCAAGAATGGTGCACAAGAATGCAGCTTATAAAAAAAAAGTTCTGGGTTTTGTTGTGGTTTTTTATTTTTAAAAATTTATTAACAACAAAAAGATGGCAGAAGCCTAGCTGGAAACAAGTCAGACTTCTAAAAATTCCATGGAATAAAACACTGCGAGAACAGTCCTATTAAAAAAGATTCTACCCTGTAAAAATCAGTAGCAGCGTTACCAGCTCTTTGTCCATTTAACTGATAAAATTACAGTATTTTCATGCTGATGAACTGAAGACAACAAGCAAGTTGAAGACATTCGGAGACCTTAAGTGAACTAGGGTGTTTTCCAAGGTTTTCAGAGTACAAAAAATTAGGCTTGCCCATCTGCAGCAGAGACACTAACTACTTTTTATGTTAGAGAAAGCTGTAGTTCAGCAGTTTTATTACTAAATCAGAGACATAAACACAAAAAGTATTTAAAAGCTTCAGATTCAATTACACTATACTGCATTATTTTTTTATGTATGTATGTATGCTCACACACATATAAAAATAAACCCCGGAAACACAGCTACCTGTAAAATGATGACAGGCAGAAGTTGATAAAAATGTATAAACCCAGTAACAACCAGTTCTCAATACCAACAAACACGGACACCACATGCAAACGCCAACCCAAGGCATCTGAAGTCACAAGATCAACGTTCTCAACTTCCGGGGAGCTCATCTCAACTATTTAAAAGGATGAGATGCATATGAATTTTCTTCAGAATGACTGACGTATACGTAAGGGCAGACTCCACTAACTTTTATAGTCTTAAATAGATAGCTGGAAGCATACAGATTTACTAAACACAACTTCTAGTATGTTCTTCTCACCCCAAGAAGCATCATCTTCTAATGGCCCTGAGAGGATTTCCAAAAATGTCTCTACCTGCGAGCCTCCAACAGGTGAACAAACTCCAGCAGAAGATGGCAATGACATTCACTGAAATTTTGGTAAAGGCAGTGTGAGCAGGAACATTTTATGGTCAAAATCTGCGCATCAGAATCCCTCTGAGTTCTGTTAAGTTCAGTACTTCCTGCAAAAGTCCCCTTTCAGCAGATGCTAGGGGCTTTTCTAAAGGCAATTAACACGCCCTTGTACAGCACCTCCCGAAGTCTTTGAAAGTTCTTGGGAAACAGCGACTGCAGTGTTCACTTGCAATGACACCCAAACAGAAGCAAGCAGTTGTTTCATCATTTTACAGTTCATAACCATAAAAAGAGCAGTCAGGTTTAAGCAAGATGAGGAACACGCAGTATAAGAGGGCCCAAGGGAAGTTTGCAGATCTCTGACTATTAACAACCTATTTTACACAAACAGAAGTTGTTCTCGCAATTATGAAAAATGGTAATTTCCACTGTCTGACAGAATAAAAAGGAACAACATTGAAAGAGGTAATTTTGCTTAAATTACACGTTCAAAACACTACAAGAAGAGATTCTTAAAAAAAAAAATCTCTTGACTTTGTTCTGCTTTCCAAGCAAAACCAACAAATCCAGTGGACATTACCTTACAAATATAGAAGCAAGCAAATGACGGTTCTGGGCAATATTAATCTGATTTGCCATCTGTTTCAATAAGCTATGCATTTTCACCTGTCGAGACAGATGGCACTTTGACCAAGCCATTTAAAAATACTATACAAAAGAAACATTGAAAGATGCTGAGGCAATCACCCACTGTAATAAATGGCACAAACCCAGCAGTAGCAGTCATGCATATGAAATAATCATGCCTCTGTGCAACTGCTGTCTTCAGAAAAGATTGCGCAGTTTGTCATTTTAATATGCAGACAGGTAAATTAATCCAAAGGAAAAATTAAGTGAAATACGCCTCTAGAATAGAAAAGAAGCCTGCCCATCACATCAAGCTTTTACAACTAAAGAAAGCATTTTATCTTCTTTGGGTTTTTTAAAGCAAATCTCTATGCCAGTAGTTAAAATTCAGTAATATAGATGATTACCTAGGTGAGGACTGGGCTTCTCCCATAGCCATAGATTTTGCTGCTGACTTACTAGCTAGATACCCGATAGAAGCACTTGCCAGAGAAACAAGATACAGCAGCAAGACTCCTCTGCACATAACTCATTTCACAATGCACTTTAAAACCTTCAGATAAAATTAAGGGCAATACTACCACAAAAAATAATTTAAAAGGATTAGAGAAAACCTCTGTGGATCAAACTAATATAGCACTTGATAACTATTTTCTTCCTTTCATAAAAAGTAATTACAGAAATAATAATTTTACTTTGTTCTTTCTCTAACTGCAGGATTAATCCCTAGTCTCAGCTGTCCAAATGCCTGCACTACATCTTCCATATTTTCACAGTCCTGGATCACCAGGCAATGTGGAGCTTCCAGGAATGGAAATATTACAAAATATACTTGACATTCTAATACAATATACAGATTATAATGAAGCAAATCAGACTTATACAGTCAGTTATTTCCATCATAATAATCATTCCTAACTCACAAGTGAAAGAAACACTGTGCGCACACAAAAACACCCCAGCTCCAACTCATTTTTTCTGCTTGTCATCAATGTACCTTCTAATCCAAAAAATTCTGAAGATCATCAAGCTCTTTAAAAACTTACCTAGAAGAATGTAAAGCAGAACACATTTTTTTTCCTGTGATAACAAGATATTCCAGATTTTACAAGACTCGTCTCAAGCTTGGCTCAATTCAGTGTCAAAGAAAGAGTGAACTGCCCCGGAGCTGCTTAGCTAGTTCGGACAGTCTCCCACAGTTGCTAATGAAGACAAAAACCAGTGTAAAAACCTACTCAGTGACCGAGACCCAGCACAAGAGCATGGTGAGACAAACACACCTAGGGTATACAACACCCAAAGAGAGAAAATTTGTAACAGAGGAATGTGCATACAACACTAAATCCGCTCCTGTGCTTTTATGGCAGAGCAGAAGCCTCACCTGCTCTGAAGGCACAGCATGCGGCAGCACAGGGCGGAAGAGGAGTGTGTCTGACTATGAAGCACACAGTCTACAGTTCCAGCACGGGAAG